CCCCCAGGCGTCGTGGGTCCTCCCCGGCCCCCTCGCGGTTACCCACAGCCCCGCCATGGGCCGTGGGGAACATCAGCCCCTATGTACAGGAGACCGCTGCGGGGGTGAGAGGGTGGGTGAGCCCTGCAGCCGGGGAGAAGGGACCATGGCACAGCGTGGTGCTGCCTTCACGCCACCCCCTGCCCAGGCCTGGCACACCTGCTTCTGCTCCAGCTCTGCCCCAGGCTCAGCCTGCAGCTGCCCCGGACATCCCTCCCTGCCTCCTGGGGTATAACCCCCCCCCTGCAAGGGGCTGGTGCTGCTCTGCCTCCTGGGGTGCTGGGGGGGGTATCTGCTTTGCGGCCCCCCTGCAAGCCCAGCAGCCAGCCACTGGCCTGGCTTCCACGGGGGATTTCTCGGTTGCAATGCCCCGGAGACAGGCCAGTGCCGAGGGTTTGGGGAGCTCTGGTGTTGCCGTTCCTCTCCTGCAGCCGGTGTGGGGTGTGCTGGGAGGGGGCTGGGTGGGTACCCCAACTTGTGATGCTGGTGGTGCACAGGCAGGGTGGTTAGAGGCAGCTGCAACACCTAACTGATGTAAATAAGTAGAAATCATAGAAATTGTGTTTGCCTGTGGTTGCCCCCTGCTCGAGGGGGTCAGACCAAGCTGTGCAAGGGGGCTGGGTCTGGGGGCTGGCCTGGCCGTCCCCCTCGGAGGGCTGGCTCGGGGCTTGCTCTGCAGCCTGGGGGTGCATCTGCCTGCGGGGGCTCTGCATAAAGCCTAAAATAAGAATATTGGGTAATGGGAACTGGCTTTGACATATATGGTGGATTGTCACTGGGGCTTTTTCATGTTCCGGGAAGCCATTTCTGGAGGCAAAATAATGAAATTTGGAGCTTTAGGATGGCTCTGCTATTCAGGGAATGAAATGCTCCAAACATTCACCCCATGAATGCTGTGGGAAAGCATGAAAAAGGCTGGTGTAATACATAAAAGCAACAGATACAAAGGTCCTACTTCTCATTTAAGGTGCTTATTGTGGGACGTATGATTTATACTGGCTTAAAGCTTCCCTGTGGAACAATGTCATGTAAGTGAAAATAGCCCTGGATCAGCCTGCTTAGTCCTGCCTGGCTGAACGTAAGGTGCGTACACTCTGTGCAAGGAAACCATGGGCATTTCCAGGAGCCCCAGGGGATTTGCAGTCCCTCGATGTTTGGCATTTGAAAATGGATCAGGGGAAAAAAAGAAAATCTAGCTCTAGACTTTACTTCCTAATCATTCCTATTCTTCTGATTGGCAAGGTGATGATTTTTAAGCCTTGTAAGTCACCTAGCCTTTCTTGATAGCATGATAATTAATAGACAAGAGAGCTGGCACTCGTTCTTTGTACTGTGAGAGCCGGCAATGATGGGAATTCGTTAAAGGTGGGAGGGGTAATTTACTTGTGCCAGTGCAACAGCTATGGAAGTTATCTGGCATCTGCCGTGGGCTAGGAGTACAAATCATACTACAGCATATACCCTTCTGCCAGGCCTGGCTGCAGGGAGGGTATATGCTATGCATATACAGGGTTCCCTGCTATGCATCTGAAAGCGCGATGTGCTGGGCTCTGGAGCAGTTTCTTGACGGGAGTTGTGGCACCTCATCTCGGGAAACATCAGAAAGTAGGTTGGACGAAGCCCGGGGGATTCATAGTGCTATTTTCAAGCACTTTGTTCTGTCTAGTTGAAATGTCTTTAGTAGAAATGGCTGCAAATTCTCCATTGAACTTTCCCTCCTTCCTTTAAGTGGGAAATTACCCTTTTTTACCAATGAAAATGTTTTCCTTTAAAAATAAATAGTTGATAAATATCAAGCTGTAAAGAAAGTCAAAGAAAAAAAATTCTGGAATTGAGATCTGTTTGTTGTCCCTGATTTGGAAGATAAAAAGCCTGCATAATTTACCTGGGGAGGTGGGGGAGAGTCTGCTTTCAAAATTGCTATGGGAAATCCTTAGGGGGTTTGGATCAGCTTTGCCTATCCAACGTGACTTTCACCGTTTCCCTTGAGAAACAGCTCTCAGCTTGCGGCAGGAATGTCAGAGGTGTTCCCAGATCGTGTCTGGGGGAGATCACCTCATTTTGTCCATGCGTGAAGCTGCCGTCAGCACTAAGGACACTGAGACAGGCAGGGGCAGGAGCTGCCTTCACAGGCAAACGGGGACATCGCTGGTGACGGCCGCGCTGCTGCCTGAGAGCAGAGATGGGGAGATCTCTGCTGGGGCTCCTGTGCCCCTTGCAACGGGAGCCTGGGGGGCTGCGGGCGGTGACCTGAGGCTGCTGCTGCTTCTCCATGGCCTCCATGAGCGAAGGGAGGAACGTGCCATTCCACTCCACAGTGTTAGACAGCTGTGTCACAGGTAATGATGCAAGAGCCAAGAGCTATTAACAAAGCTGCAATTTAGTCCTGAGGTTTCAGTAGCATCTGTAAGCGGTTTGAGTGTCTCTAACGTTACCAGAAGGCAGCGGATGAACTCTTGCCTCGCCGAGGCTGTGTCCACCTGTTACCCGAAAGGGTTTCAGAACCGAACTCTCAACAACTGATGTCTTCCCTCCGTTGCTTCTGCAGTCAAGTGGAGATTGCAGCAGCATTTGAGCCTTTAGGTTGATGCGTGCCTTTGGTCATTTCACATAGCACAATCACTTGGAAGGTGTTGGGAGTTAATAGGGATTAGCTGCTGCTGGCTCACTTAACACTTTACTGGGCCATCACGTCTCCCAGCTAATAATGCCAAAGCTCCCGATGTCGAGGGCTTCAAAGTACCCAGCAAGTGCTGATGACCATGTTTCAATGCAGTGAAGCAAGGTGGGAACCTTCAGCCTGTGTCAGAGGCACGAGACCCAAAGCACAGTGATTAGGGCTGTCACTCCCAGGGATGCTAAGGAGCACCAGCTCCCCTTGCCCCATCCTCGCGAGCGCCGCTCCCAAAAGGATGGTTGTACTGCAGCAAGTAGGGGTGCGGTTGGAAGTGACCCTCCTCTGATCCCTGCTTTGCTGCTGTAGCTGTCACTTTTCTTTTCCAGACTAGTTCTAACTTGCCAGTGCAACTGGTGGTGGAAGCCTTCGCAGTGACCACGTCCTCTGTGGCTTTGAGGAGTTCTGTATGAGGTTACAACTCTAGAAGACAATGTTATTCAGAATAAAAGCCAAGTATAAGTGGTAGTCCCCTTTAGTTTGAAGGATGCTCTGTGCCCTTGTGCTTCTGATAGTTGTATATACACACACAGAGCTGGAAAGGAGGCAGCAATCAGCTGAACAGTGATTTTTGCCCCTATTCAAAGGTGACACCTAGAGTCTGAGCTGACCTCTTCTCCCTGCAGAGCTGTGGCTGAACACTGTCTCCAGTTTTGGAGATTGGACATCCAAGGGGCTTTGCTCCATCAGAGAGAGCTTTCCAGGAACAAGGTTCCCTTGCTGACCATGCAAGGTTTTGAGCGCAGGACTCCCAGGCCTCTCCTCAGAGTGGTGGGACAGCCCTCAGCAGGGCACTCGGGACCATATCTTTAGCTTTAAAAATGCACTTTTAATATCTTAACCCTCAACTGCAAATTTACTCAAAGAAACTGTGAAAGCTGAGCTGGTAAAGTGCCGGATAAGTTAGAGGAGGTTTCTGGGCTACTGAGCACAAGCAGTTCATGGGAGTCTGCGTGAGCGCAACCCACGAACATGAACATGGGGAGATATTCACCAGGAATAGGTGAGCACGCTCCGGAATGGGCCTTGGAGAGCTGTTCCCTGCAGAGAAAGCTTCCCTGCTATGCTCGGCCACCCCCTGCCTGCTCTGCCGCTGCCCGGTCCCTCGGCAGAGGCTCTCCAAGCCCGGGCCATGGGCTGGCACCCAGCCACGGCACCCACTTGGGTGCAGTGGTGCTGGGCTCGGTCCCCTGCAACTCCCCACGCCGGGTGATTGTGGGCATGGTCTCGACTGCTGAGCCTTCCTGCGGGCCTGCCTCCATCTCTAAAACACATTTTTTCCCGCTCCTTGTCTTTTCACCATGTGACGACAGTCTTTGGGACAAGCACATTGGTAGTCCTGATCTCAGCTGGGTGTTTCAACGTGCTGTCAGAAGACCTCAGTGAGATTTGCAATTTCATCCCAATTTATCAGAATTCTTATTTCTCACAAAACAAAATGACTGAAGCAACCCCTTGGGCGAGCTACAATGACTGATTTAGTTGCAAGTCTACTAAGAACTGATTTCCTTTGCACAGACAGCTTGTTTGAGAATTTGCTTCCGGGGCAAAACTGTACTGAAGTCTGTTGTTTAATACCAATCGGAATCCCAAAACTTTGACCTAAGAAAAAACCTCCGATCCTGATGATGCACTTCAAAGGCAGATACGGTATTGCATGTACACATACCCCAGCACAAACACCGTCACACCGAGATCCAGTCCTTATTCACGTAATCATTTTCCCCCATAAATGGCAAATTAGCTAGGAGTCAGAGGGCACAAACAAGGTTTGCAGGAACAGGTCGATAATTTATCCTGCTGTGGTTGCCAGCAACCCCCTCTCCATCGCATTAAAACATGTGCAGGAATAAACATACTAGAAATCTATACTGCTTAGTATTTACGACCTCAAAGAACACGAACACAAACTTTGCAACAACGCCACGAAGCAAGTATGTCTTCAAATGAAAGGAAAATAAGGCAGCAGGAAGCTAAGAAACTTGCGGAAGGTCACAGAGGTAGTGGCAATGCCAGGAATAGAACCTGGAGGTGAAATCCCGGCCTTGGGAAAGTCAGTGGGAAACCTTCCCTGATCTCAGCAGAGGCGGAATTAGACTCGGAGTCCTATTTGCTATTCATTATCTATCAGTAACTATTTACAGATAAAATCAATACAAACGTTGATTATAAATTATTGTGTTTTCTCGCGATTCTCTAAACACAACTGCCTGACTAACAGCCAAAGCTGAAGCTTGCCATTTGGTTGCAGACGCTGAAAGCAAGGCCGTGTTTTCTCCTGCTGGCTCCGGGGGAATTAACTATGGATTCAGCTCTCCGTCAGGAGCAGAATTTGGCCCGCCAT